GCACACCCCCCTCCTCACGTCCTCGGTCAGGGTCAGAGCCGCCCTGAGACTTGCAGGTCAGGACCGCTCAAGGTCGCAGGGCGGTGGGGCAGCCAGCATCACTCGTGGCTACACAGCTGAGGTGCTGGGCCTTCACGCCCAGGTCTGGGAAGCGGGGCCACCTCCCCGGCCATTAGCCCCAGAGCCTCAGCCCTGCCCACCGTCGAAGGTCCAGTCCCGGGCCTTTCCCGGCACTGTGCTCTGGCCCCGGCAGGGAGGAGCTCCGACTCTGGGCACCCGCCTGCCTGCGAGGCCCTTTGGCAGGGGCGGGTGGCAGGGGTGGCACACAGAGCCTCTTTGTCTCTCGTTGGTGGCTGACTCACCCCAGGATGGCTTCAGCCTGCTCAGCACCCTTTCCGGCAGACACAGAGAGGGGAAGGGGACAGTGACTCGGGACAGTCCCTGGGCCTCCTGAGGCCCCACAGGCCACCCACTGGACCTTCGCTGGCCCTGCCAGGACCCCCAGTCCCGGTGTGGAGCCGCAGAGTGTGGACACGGCTGAGGGTGGCCTGGCCCGAAGCCTTCTCCACGGCTTTCAGCTTGGACTCAAACCCAGCCCGTGACCTGTGACCCATGACCTCCCTGCCGACCTTTGAGCTCGCTGGCTGCATCCTGTGCCTGAACACCCACCCTGGGTGGCCTCCAGGGGACGCTGCCCACCTCAGGGGTCGCCCTCAGCCCACCAGTCTTCTCCGCCTTCCTCAGGGCAGCACGCAGCTGCTCCCTCACGGATGGCCCTCGCCAAGGTCACAGGGGACCCCCCACGTGGCCCTGTCTGGCAGTCCCTTCTGATCCCCGAGACTGCACGCACTCTGGGCCTGGCTTTTCCTCCCCAGCCTGAAGTGCACTCGGCCCAGGGTTCCCCGCAGTCTCGGGGCTTCCCCGTCCCACTCCTCACGGTGCCTCCAGGCCTCTGTCCTCCCTTCACCCACACGGCACATCCAGCACTTGCAACCCGGCTCCGCCTCAGATGCCCTGCCCATCCCTTCCATCCAACATCACCTCTGGGCACTAATAGCTTTTCATGGTCCCTAGAATAAAACCTGCAGCTCCGATCATGGCCCTCACGGCCCTCACCATCTACCCCCACTACCTCTAAGCTGCCGCCAACAACCTTACCTCTGATCAATTCTTTCCAGCCACACAGGCCTCCTCTGTATTCAAATGACAACCTCAGGGTCTTTGCACTTGCTGTTTGTGCTGCCTAGAAAGTCCCTCCCCAGGATATCTGCACACCCTCCTTCAGGACTCCATACAAATGCCACCTTTCCAGAGAGGCCTTCCCTGACTACTCCCTTATCTCAGCTGTGCTGCCTGGCTTTATCAATTAACATCTTTCATTCTTCCACTTTCCCTGACTTCTGGGGCCACCTGAGGATCGGAACCTCTGGAGACACAGTGGCAGGTAGGGGTGGGGCTGGCGGCTGGCACGGTGCCCTAACCACTTATGTGTTAACACTCAAATCAGGGCGGCTATTGAAATGGATGGGGACCTGTGCAAACAGCGCTATCAGGGGATCATCTGCCCTTATCAGACCAGAGGGAGGTTCAGAGCAGGGAGCCGGTGCCACGAAGGGCAGCTAGACGTCCAGGTCCCAACCAGGGAGGGAGGTGGGAACCTGGCCCGGATACCCCCCACGTCCCTGACCCCAGAGACCCCCACCCCCGCCGGCCCACAGCCCAGAACAGCCTCTGCCCCAGTCCCCTGCAGACGGCCCCGCCCCAGGCAGGAAGTCTGTGGTGCGGGCCGGCAGGACTGGATTTGTGACCCAGGACTCTGAGGACGGGTGGGAGGGGAGGACCGTGACTTGGACCTCCCTCTCCAGGCTGCCACGAAGAGTAGGAAGCACCCAGATTGGGGCTCACACCCAGCAGCAGCTCATAAAAAAACCGACTGTCGGTATCGCCCTGGCCAGTGTGGCAGGTGGCTTCCCTCCCTTCGCCGCAGGCACAAGCTGCCTCGGCACTGGTGTACACCTGCGTCTCGGCAGCACTCACTCTGCATGGATGGAAAGTGAGGCACAGAGGGGCAGTGACACCTGCTAGGTGGCGGGAAGGCAGGGGAGCCCAGCGTCCCCAGCTGAGGCCCTGAGGGGCCTGGAAGCGGGCAGCAGCCTGGCTCCAGGGGCACTGGCCGCTTACCCAGCCCTCTGCTGCCCAGTGCCCCCGTACGTGCCCTGCCCCACTTGGACCCAGACGGCTCCATTAGCCGGCCCGGGCACTATGGCTTAGGTGGTCAGAATGCGTTTAATGAGATGGCAGGAGCAGAACTCTTAGGGAGGGCAGGCGAGAGGGGCTGAGGGTCCAGCTGCCCCTCAGCCTGGAAGCCAGGGCAGGGAGGGAGCGAGGGCCCCAGTGAGAGGGGAGGGTGCCGCATGGGCAGGGAGGGAACGAGCCACCCTGGGGTCTGGGATGGAGCTGGCACACTAAGATGTGTTGTGCTTCCGGCTGGTGCCCTCTCTGAGCCTCCGTTTCCTCACCTGGAGAGGGGTGACTACCTTAGCACCCACCTGCAGGCGGGGCCGGGAGGACTGAGCAGTGGAAGCGGGCGGCACTAGGGGTGCTAACAAATGGCAGCACTTGCGCACTCCTTCTCTGTTCAGTAGGCTCTGGGGACAGAACAGTGACCAAAACTGACACAAATCTCTGCCCTCAGTGAGCTGACATCTGAGTGTGAGGGAGACACGGCAGGATGGGGGCACAGTGTAAGTCGGGGCTGCCACTTTCGAGGGACAACCAGGGAGAGCCTCCTGAGGTGAACTCTGGGGAGAGAATGCTGAAGGTGTCCTGGAAAAAGTTCAGGCACAGGGAAAGCATATGCAAAGGCCCTGAGGTAGGAGCATGTCTGAAAGATCAATGGAGGCAGGATGAAGAAGCAGTGTGGTCCTGCCTAAGATTCAGTGAGGTGACCAGTGGGGGCAGTGAGGAAGAGCAGGAGCAAGAGTCTGCGCAACCCCTCCCTTGGGCCACAGGTGGGAACTGGATGCTGGGCGGGCTGGGGCGCGAGGGTAGTGGGGCAGGCAGCTGGGGTCAGGGCTGCCCTCACAGCCAGGGCACTGGCTGATGGTTTAGGTGAGGAATGGGGTGGGGTTGGGGACGACGTCATGGGGCTGGACTCCTGTGACAGGAGGCCTATGTGCTCCCACACAGGCAGGCGGCGCTGCAAACTCACCTACGCCCAGGACAACGAGCGGCGCGTGCTCCCAGCAGGCCAGCAGCAGCAGGTGGACCAGGTTGTGGGCGAGGAGGCTGAAGCACAGGACCACGGAACACCACTCCTGGAGGCGCTTGCCTGCGGGGAGAGGGGCATCGCGGGTCACACCGAGGAGCTGGCCCTGTGCGCTGCCCCCACACCCTCTCTGGAGACGCTGGGGAGCCGCGATGACCCTCCAGCCCCGCTGTCCCCTGTCCCCTTGAAGGTACGATGCACAGGCTGCAAACCTGCCCAAACCTGCACTGAACAGGAGCGACAGGGCCTGGGGACACTGGGGCTTTTAGGCCTGGCCACTACCCCACAGCCAGTGGGTGGGGCGCGAGGCAGGGGTTCTGGTTCCCAAGAGAATCCAGGCTCAGGGCTCAGTCGGGAAACCTCAATGCTGCTGTTCTGTACGTGTGTATGTGTGCGTGACTGAACCCAGGCCTTCAACTGAGCTACTCTATATCCTGAACCGCTTTTCAAGTTTTCTAAAATTTTGAGACGGTCTCGCTAAGTTACCCAGGCTGGGCTCATACGCGGTGATCCTCCTGCCTCAGCCTCCCAGAGTGCTGGGATGGCAGGTATGTACCACATGCCCGGCAGCCAAGTGTTTTTAACATTCTTGTCAGCTCAGGCAAACTGTTTCACTCTCCGCAGTTCTGAGATGTCGAAACTGTGGGAACAATCCAAGTGCTCATTGCCTGGGGACTGGCCCAAGTAACTCAGTTCACAGCACCTCTGCAGTCAAGAGGAAGCCGCCCGCTGCGGTCTGTGTGTGGATTTCGAGGCTGCCCATGATAATCCAGTAGCAGCAAACAGCAAAGCACTGAATTGCAGCCGTTTTCGCATGAAGAAAAAAATCTAGGTGGTCGAAGCTGTTTAACATTCACTCCCTTTTGAATGTACCAAATCTACATTTTACTTTTAATTATAAATCTAAAAACTTAAAATAAAACGAAATAAAAACACCATCGGCTGACAGAAACCCGTGAGTCGGTCCCTGGGAATGCACTTCCCAGGCAGCTGGTCCCAAATGCACGGGGCCCCTAATGATAATAAATAGCATCGTTGTCGTCCGTGGTTGACATTCACTGAGCAGTTACTAAGTGCCAGGCAACTTGGAGGGCAGAGGTCCTTCTGTAGATGGGAAAACAGGGTCAGAGTGTGGACGTGGAGCCTGCAGCTGCCCAGCCGGTCGCTGGACTGTGACGCCACGCCCCGGAGTCCCTTCTCTCCTGACCCTGCCCTGTCCTGATGCCCCCCACCCCGCTGCCGCCGCAAATCAGCGAGCCAGGGCGTGCTGCTCCCAAACCTCCACCTCCAGGAAGCCTGAAGCCATCCAGGATGCCTCCCCAACTTCTGTGCTCCCCCAAACCAGCACCTACTGCTCAGGGCTGCAGCCCTATGCTGATGGGAACTCAGGCTGCCCGGCACGACGTCCGGCACACTCATCAGGACCGTGGTGCCGGGGGTGGGGGGTCAGACAAGCCTGTGAAATCAACCAACTCCCAACCACAATCCTAGAGGAAAACTCTCGGGCTCCGATCTAGGGGCCCCTCACCCACATACCCTGGAAGGAAGTATTAGGCTCCCCATTTATTCAGAGAGGGAAACTGAGGCTCGGAGAAAGAAAGCTTGAACACAGGTCTGGTCCAAGTCACGGAACAGGACACTGCTCCTGCCCCACCCTGAACCAGAACCAGGACGGCCAGCTGTCCACCTCCTGTGCCATGGGAAGATCAAAGCTCAGAGGAGAGTATGCCAGGGTCCATGTCTTTGCCCCTCATGTGTAGCAGAGGACACTGAGGGCCAGAACGGGCAAGGACCTCGACAAAGGCCGCACAGCACCAGAAGCGCCTAGGGCTCCTCATTCCTTGCTCAGTTGAACTCTGGTTCCCTTGAGCCCAGCAGCCCTAGCCTGGCGACACCCGATTAGGCTGGTGGCCTCCCCCTTCTGGTTCCTGTTTGTGGACAGGGCTGAGAAGCAGGTACCCCAGGAGTGGGGACAAAGAGCAAGAACAGGGGAAGGCAGCCTGAGATAAAGGACAGGCCCTCAGGCAACATCAGCCTGGCTCACACCGCTGCCATCACCACACAGGGTGTGGCCGCCATCTGAGATGCTGCGAACTGGGCCGCTGATAGGTTTCACTCCTTTTTTTAAAAAAGGCGCACACCTGTGATCCCAGCACTTGGGAGGCTGAGGCAAGAGGATCAGGAAGATGTGAGTTCAAGGACAGCCTGGGCTACAGAGTAAAGACCCACCTCAGAAACCAACCAACCAACCTCAAAACACCACCAAACAGCCAGGTGTGGTGGTCCACGCCTGTAATCCCAGCACTCAGGAGGCTGAGGCAGGAGGATCGCTGTGAGTTCGAGACCAGCCTGGGCTACATAGTGAGTTCTAGGTCAGTCTCAACCACATAGTGAGACCCTGTCTCAAAAACAAACAAGCAAAACCATCACCAAACACAAGAGAGAGATACATTTCAAAATCACACGAACTCCTGCATCCTTGAGGGACTCAGGGTCCTGGGTGCCCGGCCTAAGCAGTGCACCATCTGATGACAGGGGCTCCAGGCTCACGGGTCCCGTCCCTCCCTGTGTCCTTGTGTGCTCTAGTGGCAGCCCTGGCCCGGCTCCTGGGATCATCAGTGTCCCCGAGGCACGAGCTTTCCCTCAAGCCTTAGCTGTGTCAAGGAAGGAACCTTGTGATCTGCTTGTCCAGGTGAGGAAACTGAGGCTCAGAGTCGGGTGTGGATCCTAGATTCCCATGGGACATGGTGGCCTGCACATTCGGGCTGCCCTGACCTCACATGGCCCTGCTCTCTCCCCGTGCCATCGAGGAGGTCCCTGCAGAGAAGCCACCTCTGCAGACTGAGTACCTCAATCCTGACCCCTACCAAATACACAGGTGATAATAAACAGCCTCACGGGCACCTCGGCCCCACTGGGCTCAGGTCTGCGAATGATCTGTCACCCTGAGACCAGCGGACCGTTCTCCCATCCTCCAGGGGGACAGAAGAGCCTGGAAAGATGAAAGGACCTGGCCCAAGTTGCTCAAGCGTCACCAGAGTCCTGGCAGGGGCCACCAGCCTGGCGGGCAGTGGGGTCAGGTGGTCACTGGACAGATGTGCAGGTTGCGGCCGGGCTGGGCGTGGAGCACAGGGAGGCCGCCTGTCCCCGGCTGCAGTGCTGGAGCCTGGTCCCCACCAGCCCCGGCTTGGCAGGTGTGCGGTAGGTTACAGCAGTGACCCCTGGCTGGCCTGGGGTGTGGGGTGGAAGACTGGGGGTAGCGCCAGTCCTCTGCCATCTGCTTTCTCGGGGAGGACACCGCCAAGGGGTTGGCGTCGGGCTTTTCTCTTCCTGCTTAGGCCAAGACGAGCCCCCAACAAGCCATGCTGCCACTGGCCCTGGGCCCAGGGGTCCCCTGACCTCACGGGGGAGAGACAGGAGGTACGGAGAGGGCAGGGACCAGAGACGGAGGGGGCACACAGAGGTCGGCAGGAACCAGAGGCTGAAAGCACAAAGCACAGGAGAGAGATGGGGAGAGAAAAAGCACAACCAGGGACAGGACACAGAAAGCAAGCTTGGCCGGCACAAGGCAGGGCCTGGTAGCCTCGGCCTCACCCTCAGGCTTGGGTTAGGCCACGTGGGTGGACCCCAGGCTCCTGAGACCCCACTCTTATCTCACCCTGGCCTGCAGCTAATGCCCTCTCTGTTCCCCACCACCTACCCTCAAAGGGCTCCTGTGCCCTGGCCGGGGAGATGGACAGCTGGACCCCAGCCTCTTCGGCTGCATCCACCCCTGGAGCCCAGTCCCCCGAAGAATGGCACAGCCAGGTTCCGTCTGGCACCTCTGGAAGACACCTGCCCTGCCCTGCCTGTCACCAGGCCCTTCACCAACGTGGCACTTAGCACGGGGTGGCTCGTTGCTAGGAAGCCACACCCTGAGTGGGGGGCCGTGCAGGACCCTCTGTGGCTCCCAGGTCCCACAGGACCAGGCCCCAACTCCTTGGCCCGACACTTGGGGCCCATGGGACCAGGTACTGTAACCCCTCTGCCCTAGGCAGCTCCCTGCCATGGGCCCTGCACACATCTGTCCTGCTGCCCACGAGCTCTGGACCCTGTGTGCCCAGTCCTGAGCAGCTCCCACTCGGCAGGTAGAGTCTATGTCCCCACCGAGTTCCAGGTCTGGGCTGCTGTAATTTCGATGTGACCTTGGGCGGGTCCCTCTCTGCTGAGCCTCGTGAAATTCCGACAGAGGTGGACGGGGCGCTCCTTGAGTGCCAGGCACCCAGGCAACCCCAACAGGTGCCCCCAACCCTGAGGGTCTTCCCAGCTGCTGGGGCAGGTGCCACCTCACCCCGATCAGGATAAGCGCTTAGAACAAAGTGTGCACAGGTGTGGGTTAAGGAAGGGCTAACTCGGTCTCCGCGTCCTCCTCTGGAAACCAGGTGTACTTTGCACAACTGTAGTGAAAACGAGAGAGCACTGTGTGGGGAGGCCGTGCTCAATAAAGGCTGCCTAGTTCACTGCCCTCAGGACTATTGTCAACTGTCAAGGGCCAGACCACTTCGGAGACCAGGAATCTCAAGAGCTCAGTCCCAGAGCCCAGGAACTTCTCCCACTCTTCCCTGCCTACTCTGCTCCAGCCTGGCCTTCTTGGTGCTCTGCAATTGTGCCAGGAGTGTGGCCACCTCAGGGCCTTTGCACTTGCTGCCTCCCTGGTCTGGATCAACTCTTCCTCGATTATTCTCAAGGCTCTCTCCTTACTTCTCCTTTCAGGTCTCTGTTCAAATGTCACCTGCTCAGCAGGGCCTGGACTGGCTGCTGTCTACATTACCTGCCTCCCGAGTATTTTTCCTTTCCCTTTTCTTCTATGCATTTGCTTCCTGGCACTTGTCACCACTAGGCAGGTCAGACATTTCCCTTATTTGGGGGATTATTGCTTGTCCTACTAAGATGCCAGCTCTGATTTTTCTGTCTTATTTGACGATCTACCCCTAGGGCCTACCACAGTGACTGCAATATAGGAGGTGCTCAATATATGTTGAGCCTGGTCACTCCTTTGACTGCCCAAGTCCAGAGGGGTCAAGGTATTTTCCCAAGGCCACACAGCACTGGTGCTGAGGGAGACCAAGGGAAGCCCAAGGAAAGGAATTTTGAGGAACCAGTTTATCTAGTCTCTCTTCCCCTTCCAGGTCAGGAAGGGAGAAGGCAGTGACTGCTAGTTTGGGGCACCCAGGGGACACTGCAGCTTCAGGTTCCTGGGTGGCTACTCTTCAGAAAGAAAGGCACTCAGGGAGCCAGAACTGGACAGGGGTGGAATTGTGACGCTGAGAGATGGCAGTCCCTGGGGAGGCTCAGGCTGCCTGGGAGCTGTTCTGTTGAAAGCAGACAGGGGGCAGGCGTGGCCCAGAAAGTGGGGCCTTGACTCCTTACACTTCCCAGGTGGGAAGTCTGAGGGGCCAGCTCACTCCCTGCTCACAGCACAGCTCCGGCCAGGAGCCCCTCCCATAGGCCAGCACTGCACAGGGACCGCTTTCTTTCCCTAACACTAAGGGGCAGACAACCTTTACAGTGCACTTGGTTAGAGGGGACAAAAGGGAAGCTGGGAAGGGAAGTGGCTTGGCCCAGGTCACAGCTCAGTAGTCCAGGCACCCCCAGTATATCCAGGGACGGTTGTTTTGGGTGTGGCCGAAAGACACGGCAGCGTGGTGCCCAAATGAGGTTCGAGACGGCACACACAACCTGAGACTCCACGGCAGGGCCAGTCTCCCGTGATCTAGGACCCAGTGAGCGAAGCAGCCGGCCCAAGGTCATACTTATGGCAGAGCTGGCAGGCGTTGGCGAACAAGGTGGGGGTGGGGCATGGCAGCCCCAGGCCCACACAGCGGGGTGGGGGGGCAGCGCAGTCCCCGCTGAAGGAGAGATGTCAGAAAGCTCCCAAGACAAACGGGAGGGGATGGCGACACTTGGCAGAGGGGCCTGGCGGCTCTCAGTCACCTGACTGGCGTTCTCAAAGACACTTCCCGAACCCTGGGGTCACTGGGCCCTCCCCGGGGGTGCAGGGCGGGGAGGAGCACTCAGAGCGATTCCTGGAGCTCGCTCTGGAGTCCGAAACAGGATGGGGGCTACTGCTTGCTACAGCAAGGCGGTAGGCAAAGCCAGAAGCGGCCAGGGGCAGACCTGGGCCTGTGGGAAAGGACAGAGCTGCGGCCAGATCCTCGGCCGTCGTGATGTGGTCAGGGAACGATGCCTTTGCGGGCTCCACACCCCAAATCTTAACGGAGATCGATATATGGATGTGGGGGAGGGGCAAAGCTGGAGTTGGGGCTTGTGGGCCTCATTTGGGGGCTTCGCACCCCCCCCACCGCTTGGAATCCAGGAATGTGGTGGGGTGGGCTGATGCTCCCCGTGAGGGTCCCCAGAGGGGAAGGAAAGACGACCGGCAGTCAGCAGTCACTGAAGCACCAACTAGGACGGGGCTCTGGGGGAACAGTGTCGGGCACACTCAGCAGCCCAGAACTTCCAAGTTAGGGTTCCCTGAGAAGGGAGCTGGCATTCCTAGGTTGGGGGGGTGGGGTCATTAAAGCCAGGGTCCAGGTGAGGACGCAGATGCAGCTCGGCTGCAGACGCCCGATCCGGGAAACCCAGGAGGGGATGCGACTTTAGGGCCCTGGAGTGAAGGTTCTCAAGTCTGGGGGCGCTCGCTGCAGCCCAAGGTGCGCTGGGGTCGGGGTTCTGACCTGCGGGGACTGTTCGTGGCCCGGAGCGGATGGGGTAGTTCCCAGATTTGGGGAGTGTCTCCGCAGCCAGAAAGCCCCGGGGCTGGGATGCTGACCTGAGGTTGGAAGGAGACGCCAGGGTGGGGTCCCCGGACTCAGGGCCGTTATTTGCAACTTAGAAGCCGAAGCTGAAGCTTCCCATCTGGACCCGAGGCTGGGATTCCGACCCTGGAACCAGGGTCGCTGTACCCAGCCCGGGCTGGTGATTGCAGGCCCAGGGGGGCCGAGGTC